AAAAAAAAAAAAGGAGGGGGACCAGGTTTGCTGATTTAATAGAGTCTGGTGCAATCCCTGAGACTATGGCCCCTAGCTGCCCTTCAGGTCTGGAATTAAACCCACTCCTGTGGCCTCCAGCCAAACAAAAGACAGGCATGTGAGGTGAACATTTTACATTAGGTAGAAACACTCCTTGGAGAGATCAGTCATGGGAGAGTAGAAGGGCTGTGTATGTACAGGGGGACAGCTCAGAGGGCAGGAGTGCATGGGAGGGAAGGACATAGTGAAGAGGTGGCTATGAGGAAGAAGTGGGAGGAGAGCTGTTGCATTGTGGGAGATTGCAGTCAATGTCATGAGACTAAGTGTATGTGAACTGCTGTATGGAAGATGAATTTGCACTGTAACTTTCACCCAAATCACAATTTTTTTTTTAAATCATAAAAAAAAAGTGTGCAAATGAACCATCTGAGATGGAACTATTGATCTGTACTCATCTGAAGCAAAAGAGGAAGAAAGCAAGACACAAGAAGAAACTAGTCTACAGAACTAATGGCCTACACAAACTAATAACCTCATCTGTACTGAGAACAGAAGAACTAGATGGTACCACTGGATGTACTAATCAGGGCCACGATAGATAGACCCTGTTAGAATGGGAGAGAAATGTGGAACCGAACCAAAAATTCCTTAAAAAAATAAAAAAACAGACTTGCTGGACTAGTTGAGACTAGAAGATTCCCTGAGACTATTGCCCTGTAATACTCGAAACCTTGAACCAAAACTAGCCCTTCAGGTCACCTTTTACCTAAATAGCATTGGCACACAAAGAATATCACCTGTATACTGTGCTCCTTGTAAAAATCATCTGTATGAAACCAGTGGTCGGCAATTACTGTAAAACAGAGATGGAAACGTAAGGCCACAGGGAACATAGATTAATGCAAATGGATCAGCCAGAATGGAAATACCGGGAATGTTCTGGCATTGTGAAAAACAACCATTACCACTGAACAATTTAGGTAGGAATTATTGAATGGGAACCTAAACTGCTGTGTAAACCTTAAAAATTTTTTTTTTTTAAATGGTGCATACAGTACACAGGAAGACAGCTTGGGGGGCAGGAGTGCATGGGAGGGAAGGACACAGGGAAGAGGTAACTATGGGGAAAAAGTAGGAGGGGAGTTGTTGCATTGTGGGAAAATTTCAGTCAATGTCATGTGTGAGCTGCTGTATGGAAAGTGAATTTGCTCTGTAAACTTTCACCCAAATCACAAAAAAAATTAAAAAAAAAAAAAAAAAGCGCACACACAAAAAAGAGTGAATACTTCACTAAATACTTCATTGTCTCTTTCCTGAAAACAAGGCTCTGTATAACCACAGTACAGTTATCAAGATCAGTAACAACACTGATAAGATACTGTTGTCTAATCTATAGATTTTATTCAGATTTTACCAGTTACCCCATTGATGTCCTTTATAGGAAAAAGAAATAGAAATTTATACATTTCCCATTCTGTTGTCATATCTCTTTAGTCTCTTTAATCTGGGACAGTTTCTGTTGTATGACATGACATTTTTCAAGAATAAAAACCAGTTGCCATCAAGTTGATTGCAAATCATGGCGACCCATGTGTGTCAGCACATGGGGTTTTCGGTGGCTGATTTTGCAGAAGTGGATCTTTAGGCCTTTCTTCCTAAGTGCCTCAGGGTAGACAAGCATGTTAACTACACCAGTCAGGGACTCCTTTTTGAAGAATACAGAATACCTGACCTGTTGCCATCGAGTTGATTCCAACTTGTGGTGACCCTGTGTGTTACAGAGAGGCCTGCTTGCTCCACAGGGGTTTTTTTTGGGCTGTCGTCTATTTAAAGCAGATTGCCAGACCTTCCTGTGGTACAGATGATGAGCTGAATCACAAACCTTTAGGTTAGTAGGCAAGCACAAACCATTTGTGCTACTTAGGGGCTTCACTTTTGATGATTACAAGCTATTTTGTAAAATTTCCTTCATTTTGGGATTATCTCCTATTTCTTACATTAGATTCAGTTTTATGTACTTTTGGTAGGAAGTCCACTGAAGGGAGGCTGTGTTATTTCCAACACATATCAGGAACCACATGGTTTTGTATAGGCCCATTACAGTTGGTCATCAGTTTGATCACTTGGTTAAGATGGTGTCTGCTAGGTTTCCCCACTGTAAAGTTGCTAGTCTGTGGCTCTTTCTTGTATTCCAGGTGATAACAACAGCACATGAATCTTGATATGTGTTGTCAAATTGGTTATAATTCATTATCCAAAGTTTATTGAACAGTTTCTCTGTGAATCCATTGCTGGCCTTCTTCCTTGTTCATAGGCTGCTTGCTGTGCTCAAGTGCATGTCCTCTCCTTCCCCTCCCAGGGATGCCAGATGAACAGAGGGAAGGGCTCCAGGAAGAGCTGATCGATATTATCCTTCTCATCTTGGAGCGGAACCCTCAGCTGCACTACTACCAGGGCTACCATGACATTGTGGTCACGTTTTTGCTGGTGGTAGGCGAGAGGCTGGCAGCATCCCTGGTAGAAAAATTGTCTACCCACCACCTCAGGTACCAATGCAGAGGAACATATAAGATGATGGGTGTCGCACTTTTCAAAACCCTCTAAGAATAACTCCTCAACCCGTTTTCTAGTCAGTTTTTCTTAATGGTGCACATCCCATTCCATCCCTCATTTCTGGTTTGATTTGTCTTTGAGCTTACCGAGCTTTTTGAATTGTTTCCCTTTAGGGATTTTATGGATCCAACAATGGACAACACCAAGCATATATTAAACTATCTGATGCCCATCATTGACCAGGTGAATCCAGAACTCCATGACTTCATGCAGAGGTATATATGTGTCTGCATTTATGTGTTACACACACATCTAAGCTCTCTGTTAGCCTCATTCCTTCCTCTATAAATCTAGTTCAATTCCATCGTCAGCTTATGTTGATTAGTGTTCCATTTTTCAGAGTGTCCTTTCCAGTTACCAGCTCTCTGGATAATTCAGTTCTGTGCATAGTCTTTGAGCACTTTTTGGGTGCTGTGCTTTTTTGGGGATACAGGAGATGACACAACTCATGCCCTTGAGGAGTTTACATCTAGTAGGGACAGGTAGATAAGGTAGGTATGCCAAAGTAGACCTGGAGGTTATTGCTGCAGAGTCTTACGGATTCCAGAGGTGAGAGTGGCCATCGGTGAGTGGTTTTATTCCCCAAGTACCGAGGAGAAGAAATTATTTCCTTGCAAATCTCATATGGTGTGTTTTTTTCTTCTCTGTGTAGTTGGAAATGTGTCCTCAACCAATGCATCACCTTTTTTTTTTTGAAATTAATGGCCATGTTGTAAGATGTTTCAGTGTTCTCATATTTACTGAAAAATTAATTTAGTTATGTTTTCAAGATATGTATGGGTGCCCCTGGATAGGGTGTGATTTTCTCAGGAAAATCATGGTATACATCTCTGAAAACAACTACTTTCTATTCCTGTAGTTGGTATCTGTTGGCCATTAGGAGAGCACCCAATAAGAAAAAGCAACCAGGGCCCTATTGTAGTATTAGTGTCATGATACTGGGTGTGGTTTTTGTGGTGAGGAGATAATTAATTCCTAGGTGGCTGAATTTTCCAGAAAATCTATTTCCCACGTGCTTCTTTGTCACGAGTACTGAGGACAAAGAAGGCCCAGAGAAAGGGAAGGTGTGATCCAGTAGGGGACCTAATGTTTGGATTTCCTTTGATCTAGTGCTGAAGTGGGGACCATCTTTGCCCTCAGCTGGCTCATCACCTGGTTTGGGCACGTCCTGTCTGACTTCAGGCACGTCGTGCGGTTATATGACTTCTTCCTGGCCTGCCACCCTCTGATGCCCATTTACTTTGCAGCTGTGGTAGGTATGGGCCATGTGCCAGCAACCAAGTTCACCATCACTTGTCTAACTTACATCATTTTCCCTGAAGGAAATCTGACGACTAGGGAAAGACACCATGGACAGATCTGAGGGTCTTTGCAGCATTTCCCACGCTGGTGTCTCTGGACACCATCTGCACAATGTTAATGGGGGTGTCACGAAAACAAATTTTTGTCTACAGATAAGTTTGAGAAATGCTAGTTAAACAAAATTAAACAGATTTCTTTACTGTATGACTCTTCTGAACCTTTAAAATGTTAATGTGCCTGTGAATGATCAGTGTCCCCATTGGCATCTCCTGAAACTGTGTTCTCCTGTTGACCACAATTAGGGAGATGGTCAGTAGTACAAACTACCAATTCCAGGTTTAGGAAAAGCAAAGATCTGGTGTTAAGATAGAAAATTGAGATGGCTGGTGGTAGAAGGGGCAGCGCAGGGAAGCTCTTCACTGCTTCCTTCCAAAGGTGTGGACATGCAGACCAGCGGTCTGAATGAGCTGTTCAAGGGGAGCAAGAACCATTCCTTCTGCTGTTTTGAACCGTTCTGTACTAAAGCTCTAGAACTCTCTAAGCAGTCCCTCTCTTTTTCTTTCCTTTAAAGAATTTGATTTCTTTCAAGATTTTGAGGGACACTGGTGTAGACAAGTATTCCTGGAATGACCTAGATTTTAATTGGTTAGCTCTTTGCATTTTGGGGTGGAATTTCCCTCCAGCAGGAAGAGCTGGCCCAGTAAGAAAAGCACTCAGAACCTATACAACTATGAGACCAGAAGAACTAGATGGTGCCCAGCAACCACTGCCATCTACTTGGAAGGGATGTAGGAGATCTTGCATAGAGAGGGAGAACAATGTGGAACAAAACTCAAAATCATTTGGAGG